AGTATGTTGGATTTTGTGATGTGATATCCCACTTGGGAGGTGAAAACTCTGATGTTTATTTATAATGTTTATATTTTATTTGTTTTGGGAAGTGGGATGTTACAGTTTTCGTGGGAGGCAATCAACGTATAATCTCATTTTGGCAACCGGTGATAGATTGTTTGAAGAGGAGATTGGCATTGTGGAAAGGTAAACTTTTATCCATTGGAGGGAGACTCGCTCTTATCAATTCGGTTCTGTCTAATATTCCAATTTATTATCTTGCTTTCTTCAAAATGCCAAGGAAAGTGCAGACATTGATTGTATCAATTCAAAGTCGATTCATGTGGAACGATCTGTAGGAATCGCGTGGGATTAGTTGGGTCAAGTGGAAAACTATTTGTAATCTTAAGGATGAAGGCGGATTAGGGGTGAGAGACATTGGTTTTTTCAACAAAGCTTTACTTTTTAAATGGTTTTGGAGATTGTTAGAAAAAGATGCAATTTGGCTGGGCATCATTGATGAACGATACGATGAATTCATAAAAGCTATTATGTCCAAAGGTGTTGTAAAGTATGGCAATACCTTGTCCTAATTGCGGAAGGACATGATGTCTCTTCTTGATGAGGAAGGTGAAGGCAATGTTATCAAAAATCTCTCTCATAGAATTGGAAATCGATGTAAAACTCTCTTTTGGGCTTCGAAATGGCTGGGAGATAGTCCACTTTGTTCACTTTTTCCGAATTTATTCAATGCATCAAATAGGAAATTCTGCTTGGTGAGTCAAATGGGATGTTGGTGTGATAAGATTTCGCATTGGGAGCTGGATGATCTAGTTTGTGATCACAATGCAATTTTGAAGAATGAATTTCAGGAGCTGCACTCTCTGCTAAAGGAGAATGCTCCTATGACGAACCAATTGGACTGTATTGTTTGGCCATCTGCGGGCAACAATTCATTTTCTGCCAGCTCTTGCTATGAAATTTTGTCTAAAACGCAGGTTAGTAATGTAATTGGAGTTAATAAGGTTCAGACCTTAAAGCTGTCGTGGAATGCTTCTATCCTGGTGAAGATTCAAGTTTTCGTTTGGCGGTTGATCTTAGACAGGTTGCCGACTCGTATTAATCTGGTACATCGTGGAATTATCAATAATCTGCATTAAAGAGTGTATGTCTTTTGTTTCAATTATGATGAAGACGTTTGCCATGAATCTTTTGGATGTGTGAAAACTAAGATCATTTGGAGAAATATTTGCAATTGGTTTGAAGTAGATATGTTTGATTCATTAGAGGCTGGTGAACATATGTTTGCTTGGTTAGAAAAGGTTAGATTGAAGATGTCGATTTCCAATGCAGTTGAAGTATGGTCTATTGTCTGTTGGAATATTTGGTATTCAAGGAACCAAATTCTATTCAACGAGAAAATTGGAAATCCGGATATTGTTTCTCAAAGGATTGTTTTGAATTTTCGGTGGTGGCTGTACAAAAGACATAACTATTTTTTAAATTGTAGTTATTATGAATGGTACAAACATCTTTGACATTTTCTATAATGTTGAGTTTTGTTCATAAATTTTGAACAGTTGTAATTTGTAATCTAGTTGGAATACCCCTAATAACCATTTTGTTAATATAATTCTCCTGCTTATAAAAATAAATAAACGTGTTAAATAATAATTTATTATGCCAAGTGTAATGGATATATTTATTTTTTTTGTTTTGTTTTTGAAACAAAGCTTATTATAAAGGATGATTGAGCCGAAGTAAAATACTACAAAGATAAATACGTATCAACATGATTGTAATTTAATAATATTTTATTATGGAAATTGTTATCAAGTTTTAAAAAATACAATTATGATTTTTGTAGGATAAATAAATATTTAATTTTAATATTAATGTTGAACTTATTATTACATGACAATTTTTTTTTGTCATTTCTTTTATAATAACAATTAATAAGAGTCAAGATCACTTAAAAATATTGGACTATATATTTGTTTTGCCGATTTTTTAACACGGTTAATTATAAAGCAACTTTAAGAGTCACTTAAAAAAAAGTTTGAAATTGTTGATAATTGATGCAGAAAGTCAATATACTAATTCGACATCAAATGTCATATATAAACAACTTTTTAAAAATGTGTGACATCTCATAATTTTATATATAATTTATTTTTTATATATAGTTAATATAATTTTATCTATTTATACGCTAATTTTAAATTTGAACAAAGCAAAAGTCAAATAATCTAGTATATAATAAAAATAAGTGATGACTATTTGTCATTTAATACTATAAAAATACACATGATAAATTTGTTATCGATAAATATAATAATTTCTGAATAATTTTTTTTTAATTAAAAATATTATGACACATATTTGTCACTAATATCTAAATAGCTTGAGATAAAAATTTGAACCACAGAATCAAATTCAATTCAAATTAAATTAAAAAAAAAGTTAATTTTAATAATTTGGTGCATGTGTTTAAAATAAATTATGATATTTATAATACTTCATTCAATTACATTTTTTTCGTTTAATTTAAATTATATTTAATTAATTAATTAAAATTCAAGTGAATAAAAAACAATTGTATAAAAAAGATATCAAATAAATGACTATTTATGTTTGATGTATTATATTTGTTAATGAACTAAATGGGTGTGGGTTGTTGGCCCATAGTTCAACTCCAAATAAGAATTGTTTATATTTTGTTATAATATAAATATAAATAAGTGGTTGATATTATAAATTAATAATTTAAAAGATAAGATCTCTTAATATTGATACCAGGAATATTACTAATTCATAATTATATTTAAAATAAAACGAAAATAAAATTATTTTGAAATTTATTTTAATTATTTTAAATTGTGTTCCTAATTAATATTATACATTTTTAATTGGTATTTAGATTAATAGGGAATATATTAATAATTGCTAAAGTTAATATTAATTGAGTTACTATGTTACGAAAATCTTAAAAATATCATATTGATTGAAGATAGATCATTGAAATAGTTTATATAAAGTGATATCTCTCATTTTATCAACTGGTCTTGTAGAGCTGTATTTGTTAAACTCTAATATAATATCAAAGCCTTGAAATAATTTATATAGAGTGACACCTATCACTTTACCACCGTTTAAATTCATGCGCTAAGTCTAAAAAGAGCGTTGGCGTGAGGGGATATGTTAGAAAAATTGTAAAAGTTCTATATTGGTTAGAAATAAAGCACTGAAATAATTTATATAAAATGATACTCTTTATCTTGTCAACCACTTTTATAGAATTGTGCTAAACCAAATTCTAATAACATATAGAGGTGGACACTCATGTCTGGATACCCCACTAAGTGGATATTCAGATTTTAATTCTCCTATTATAAATCTAATCCTTTTAATTAGACTTAGTTTTGTTTAATATATCTTAAACAAATAAGTGTTAATATACCCAGAGGTTAAGTCAATGAAAAAACTTAGCATCAAAGCTTTAAGATTTGAGTTTCAATTTCTTAATGCTAGGTTTATCGATGGACTAAAACGAACCAGAGAAAAATGAAGCATAATAAAATAAAGTAAAATAAAAAAAGGATGAAATAAAAATTCTATTTAATTGTTTGAATATTTTATATATTTCATTTCATTACAAATAAATAAAAAATGGATATTTTAATGAAATGAAATTTGTCGTGTTTCACTTCATATATTATATTTGAATTTAAATAATATAATTTTATTAACTTCATTATTAATACTTTTTTTATAGATGATCCTAACAAACATCGCTCTACATATTGGTAAAGTTAGAGTTTAATCTAACAAATTCATATAAAATTGATTTATAAGATGAATGATATTATTATATTGTATATAAATTTTTATCAAGTTCTACTTTTAATAATGTGAAATTTGAGTTTTTTTTTTATATACATCTTCTCAAGTCCACCACTATTAGATATGATGTGTGGTTTAAATTGTTGATTTATAATTTTTTTTTAATATATCTCTTTTGCTCAAAACTATTAAACTGGTTGTATACGTATAAATGATTGGTAATCTCAATTGATAGACTCTTAATATTATAATAGAATTATACTTTGCTTTAATTTATCTTTAATTATTGTGGAATTTAAAAAATCTCAATATACTAAAGACGAACAATATTATACTTGATATATGGATATAAATAGTAGATAACTCAAATTATCGATATATGCAATTTGATTTTTTCAATACACTTAAATAAAAATGTTCAAGTCAATAATATCAAATAGTTAAGTGTCAACTTTTTTTTAGTATATATAAGAAAAACAATATTGAAAAAAATATATATTTATTAAAAAATAAAGTATATTAATTTAAATTAAATTTTTTCCTTCTATATTCTTAAAATAAGTTTTACAAAAACAATGTAAAAACAATTTTAATTATTTATTGATTATAGAGAAAATAAGAAAGATAGTATATTCAATACTTAAAAAAGATAAATGTTTTTCCTTCATAACTTAGAATAAGAAAAATGCATTTTTTATTAATATTTTAGGACATGATTATAATTAGAGATACATAAACCTAATTAAACCCACTAGTTAACCATTTTAGCATTTTTTAATTATCACTTCTCCATTTCATTTGTCAAAAGATAAACCATACATGAATTACTCTCTCACTCTAATTGGCATTTTGTTGTTTGTGACCACTCTCACAATTTTGTATATATATAGCTAACATCTTCACCTCTTACTCCATTGCTTAACTACCACTCTTTCCTCTCTTGAAAGCAATCACTTTTTTTCCTTGTTTCAAATTTCACTCTCACAAACCAAAACACCATTCAAACTCTCTCAACAAGGAATATACCCTTTGATCCCAAAACCTTCCCCCTTTCCCTCTCTCCCTCTTTTCTATTATTATATTATTAAATATCCCTTCTCTCTCTCTCTCTCTCTCTCTCTCTCTCTCTCTCTCTCTCTCTCTCTCTCTCTCTCTCTCTCTCTCATATCTTTAATATGCAACAACAAGTGGCATCAGAAGTTCAACATCACCAACTCAAGAAAAAGAACCAAGAAACACAGATGTGTAGAAAACTCAAACTCAGTATCACTGATCACAACAACCTCAAACTCACTACCACCGTTGATGATGACGATGATGTTTGCGACAAAATTGACGGCGAGGATCTCTTCATTCCACCTCTCAATTTTTCTATGGTTGATAACGGCATTTTCCGTTCCGGTTTCCCTGAGCCTTCCAACTTCTCTTTCCTCAAAACCCTTGGCCTCCGTTCCATCATGTATATATACTCTTTTTTTCTTTTGCATGTGTTTTGCTTTTTTTCTATCTTTTGAACACTTTTTTGATAACCCAATTCATCATTTATTAGTAAATTATTCACCTTTTTCTGATTTTGTTGAGTTTTTCTTTGATGGGTCTTTTTTTGAATAGATATTTGTGCCCTGAACCATATCCAGAAGCTAACATGGAGTTTCTCAAGTCAAATGGAATCAAGCTTTTTCACTTTGGAATTGAGGGTCATAAGGTTTGTGATTCTATTAATATATCTTCAATCAATTCAACATTTTTATTAATTTATCGCAAAGATCAATTGTATTATATGAATGCACAAAGTGATAAAGTGAATTGAATTGATAATTGAATAAAGATCAATGGATATATCTAATTCAATTGACTTGTCTTTCTCATAATCCTATGTGGTCTTCAATTATTTTCTTCAAGTTGGTGTATGTGTGGATAATTTGTCACATATGGTGAAACCAATATGGGCAAAAACGATCGCGACAAAACAATATAACAATACTGATATTGTTACTGGTATTCACCGTTTTTATATGACAAAGCAAAATTATAGTTAATTCACACCACCGCCGCGACAACCACAATCAGTATTGCAACACCTGCGAAAGTCTTTACGCGACTGCGACAGATAAAACCTTGCCAATGGGACCTTTATATGAATGCTAGTGTTTAATCCATTGAGTTGCTATGGCAAGTATGAGAGGATAAAAGGGATCATAATAAAGCTGGTTATTTTCATTATTATTTCTTATTCACATGCTTTTGTTCTAGATTGATTTTGTGTATGTTTGGATTCACTCTTAGATCGATATAATTACACGACTCACCGATTTTTTTGATCAAAATTACACTTGGAAGTTTCAACAAAATCACGGTGTCGATCAACTTTATGATCATAGTTTTTTAGATATCAATATCATATTGTTATGTCATTTTTTGATCTATAATTGATTCTTGTTGAATTCACTGTTTTTTTTTCTTGAGCATATTTGACATTTCTGTGTGAAAGAATCCCCATCAATCTTCAGCTGTAATGGAAATCACTGCTGATGGAATCTAAGCTGGCTTGTGATGTCTTTTCCATGGCTATTTCAAAATCAAATTATCACAATCATTTGTTTTTTTGTGAATATTTAATGGCTAAGAGGAGACCATAGAGTATTCTTCTTGTCTGGATAATGAATGGGACCATTACGAATTTGTCAAAAACCGATTTCGTTCAAGAACCATAAAATTTCCATCATGAAAAAGAAATAGCATATCTAGTCATGATCAACCCTAGGAAAGTAAAGAAGGAAAAATATTGAGATAAACATAGGTTCAAAAGTTGGATTTTGATTCTCTCTGCAGTCTAGTAAATCGGGTCTTGTTTGAGTCCAATTTACTAGATTTGAAGAGAGAATCGCGTATTCTTGAGTTTCTAACTCGAATTCATTGTTTTTGTGTGTGTGTTTACTAGCATGTTTTATATGTGATGTATCAAATTGTAACCTCTTACGAACTTGTTGATCCAGGAGCCTTTTGTAAACATCCCCGACGACACTATTCGGGAAGCCCTAAAAGTTCTTCTTGGTATGCTTATATCTCTTTCTTCAATTCAAACTTAGTCACAATTTCATCTTAGTTTTTCAAGCAATAATCACCGGTGTTCTAAATATTGCAGATGTAAGGAACCACCCGGTTATAATTCACTGTAAGCGAGGAAAGGTAAAAAACCATCTTTTTCTCGTAAATATTTGTGATTTGAACTAATAGGGTTCTGTTAGATAAGAACAGAACCCTATTAAAAGAGTGTTTTCTCGTTATCTCATTAAAGTAGTTAATATTTTGAATTCACTTTGTTTACAGCACCGAACAGGTTGTTTAGTCGGATGCTATAGAAAGCTCCAAAAATGGTGCTTGTCATCTGTTTTCGACGAGTACCAACGTTTTGCAGCTGCAAAAGCGCGAGTTTCGGATCAGAGGTTTGTAGAGTTGTTTGACATTTCAAGCTTGAAGCATTTGCCTATACCATTTTCATATTTGAAGAGGTAACAACAGACACAGAAAAGTTATGCTAAACTGGTTTTTCCTTTCATTAGCTAGTGAAAGTGAATCTGAAGCAAAGCGTTTTGAATAATAAAATAGAAAAAGGTGATGAACTTCTTCAATGCATTGAAGCAACAAAGGATTCTTCTTCTTTTTCTTCCATTTTTTAGAATAAGATAAGAAAAATCATCAAGTAGTATTATTCTAGTATATTAAGATGCATGTATCTTTGTCTTTCTACTATTTTGTTTGTGTTTTGTTTTTCTGCTCCTTATTCATGAGCAATGAGAATGTAGATTAGTCTTGATTATTTTCTTGAGGCTAAGAGAAATTCAAGAAAGCTATAAAAAGCATTGTTTTGTCAGCAGAGAAATTTTATAATTTTTTAAATTATCAATCTATATTATTTTAGTAATTGGTGTCGATTTAAATTAGTCAGTTTAACCATGATAAAATAAAAGATATTATATTTAATTATGATTTTTCTGTGCACGTTCTGAAAGACGGTTTAAAAATAATGTAATCACTCTGTTTCAAAACAAATTAGAATGAATAATTTATTTTAAGAATAATTGTTCCCAAAATAAATGCTCATTTTTTATTTTTTAATATACTTTTTATAACTCTATCTTTTAAATAATATTATTTACATTATTTTTAGTTTAATATTTTCAACTTTACAAAAAAAAAACAAAAAGACGTAAGGCAATTCATAAGAATTGGATAGAAATCCTCTTTAATATATGTTATTTGCCATTTAAAAAAATCATCTATGTGAGATAATTTCAAAGATTTAACACATTAGAATTAACATTAGAAGTTAAAATAATAATTAATATATTAAAATATTGAATAACATGTTTTTATTATTATTTCATGGATTAGACCATTATAAGCCATCTATATGCATGAGCGAAGGTAGCAAAACGTTTTCTCTATTACCCCGTTACAAATTATTATTATTATTTTAGTTTATTAAGAAGTGTATTATATAGTTATAAATTTAGGTCACTTAATTTAGTTATAAATTTCTCTGAGGCTAAAAGGATTTAAAAAATAGCAAGATCAAAAGGAAGAGAAAGGTAAAATCATGAAGATTAATATGATTTTGAAGGTGAAAAAGTATAAAAGAGAATTGAATTGTGTTAGACGTTTTCTTTCTTTTTAAAATTCTAGTCAGATTCTAAACACAAGGTTTAGAGTTTGAATTAGAGGTGAGTGATAAGCAGCGGATAAGGAATGAAAAAAAGAAGGAGACACACAAAGTTATCCTAGTTCCTCTCACAAACCGAGAGTAATTTAGTCCTCTTGTACTTCCAATGGATTTCACTATAATCACACAAGATTATAATTTGCTCAAGCAGACACGCAAGATACTTTCAATGCTCAAACACAAAGTAAGATACTTTTAATGCCCAAGCACACAAGCAAGAGACTTCAGATGCTCAAGCACACGAATAAGAGACTTCAGATGCTCAAGCACACAAGCAAGAGATTTCTAATGCTCAAAGACTAAGTAAGAGGCTTCTAACAATGTACCTAACAAATAAAAAATTATTTGGGGTATTACATTTGATATACAATCAGAGGTGCAGATAAAATACAATACAAGAATACTCTTAAGACTTGAGAATTTTTAAGATATGCAAAGATAAGAAATCCTAAGTTAAACTTGTGCTTATGTTTTGACAGGGTAATAACTCTTTGAATGTGAATAGTTTGTTTTTGGTTCTTCAAGTCTTCAACTTCTTATATATAGAAGAAAAAGATTCGTTGGAGAGTTTGCACAAGAGAGTCTTTGAGAAGCTCGATTCAGAGACATTGAGATGTTTCTTGATATGGTTAATGTCGTTGAAAGATCATTTGAAATTTCTTTGCTTCAAAAGAAATTATTAGTTACATCCCAACTGTCTATATGAAAAATAGCTTAGGTATTCTCGTGATCAGAAGAAGACAAAATAGCCACAGAGTCTGACAGTGACCTATCAGAGTCACCTTGATCTTTGCGCTTTATTTGACTTTAGATTCTGACCTTCAGAAGTTGGCTTCTTTAGAGTCTGACCTTCAGACGTAGACTTCTTCAAAGTCTGGTATTTAGAAGTAGACTTCTTAAGAGTCTGGTCTTCAGCTTTTTATCTTTAAGTTTCTCTTTACATGTTGACTAACAGAACCAATACTTAAATTATTCCTGAAATTTTAGTCTATGGTCCTACACACTTGAACAAATACTAGTATACCCATTTATTCTTTAAATACTTTGTTATCATCAAAATCTAAGTGACATGGTACAAACCAATTTTGTTCCAACAGCTTCTTCGACCAAGAAGTTACGAGAGATGGTTATTCAAACCCTTGTATATAATATAAATCCTCTCGGCCGGATGTGTTCAGGTAGCCGATCCAAATGAAATCGAAGCCAACTGTCATGACCCTGGTGGCGAATAAGCTATGGTTAGACCATTTTATTATGTTAATTCAATCCCTTTTGCAAAAATATGACGCTTTATTATGATGTACCATGGTGTTCAACTCAAGAATACATAAGTTTCCACTAAACTATCTATTTTTCTTGTGATTATGAAAGGTAACAGTGACTTTGGGATACGACAAAGAAGATCAAAGTGTCATCACAAAGACTAAGGGTGATATCATAAACGCCACATAATTTTTAATAAAGAAATCAAAACTCCATGGTTCCAATGCACACACACAAAGAAAAATGTGACACAAATTGGAAAATACAAGCTCACCCCTCTCTTGGTAGCTAGCAATTACATATGTAGTAGCCAGTCTCCCATACGTCAACCTCAGACTAGGATTTCATCTAGGGATAGGGAAGCGGTAATGACCCTTGGCTAGGCACAGTCCGCAAAGACGTCCAATAAATTTCGAGCACAACCATGGAGGAAAACAACATCTCAAAGAAATGAACTCAAGTGCAAAAGCAATAACGTAAATATAGGTAAGAATATGGGTAAATAACAAATTTAAATGTACATTGCAGGACATGACAAAGATTACTCACTCATTGTATTTACATATGCTGGTACAAGCACTCTGGTAAAAAAAACAAAACATGCATGACTAATCCACCAGGGAAACCACCTTTATATCTTCAATCGCTTGATCAATACAAACTTGCTCTCGAGAAATCAGCATAGTAAAGTAAAAATGCTCAACCTACTTCAAGACACTTCCAAAAGAGTCTTGAGGTATAAAGTAACTTTTCTTCAACGATTTGTCTAACTCCTTGGACAAAGAAAGGTTCTCGAGGCGCATCTCGAGAAATGTGTTCTTAACTTTCTTTTATTCTTATTAAAACTCCTTTATAGAATTTTCAAGATCTTCTATATTTTTTTATGAAGGGTCAAAAAACTAGTTTTCTTCTTCAAGAACAACCTCTACCTTGGCTATATATGTCTGAGTAGAAGCCAAGGCCTCGCTATTCTCCGTCATTTCCTGAGCAAGCCATTTCACCTTCTCGACCAGAGTGTCGGGAAAACCAAAAGGCTTAACAACAACCTCTATAGTTAGAAACGAGTAAAACATTTCTCATATTTCTTCTAGACACCAATGTTGCTCAACATTAAGGGCATTAAACCGCTCTTTGAGAATCTCCCTCTTCATTCAAATATGGTCGGGCAAGAAGACTTCCCACGTCCCAAACACTCAAAATTTAAAATAAGAAGACATCCGATGGGTGTGATAGGCCAACTTCTCTAACTCTTCCCGGCGAGCTTCTTCGAAAAGATTTGAGAAATAGGAGTAATCTACATTTGATATTGAAAACCAAAAATCCTTGTTTGCTCTAGGGCTAGGATGATCTAGCAACACATGAGACGAATCTTCCAGAACCAAAGCGTGTTCTCCAATAGATCTATTCTAGGGACGTTTGGTAAGTGACATCTCAACCTGAAGTTCTTTAGGGATGGAATTTGAAACTCCCTCACCCTCCAACTGAGATGTGGGTAAAACATCATATATCCTGATTCGATCATGCAAAACTCAAACTTATGCTTGAATAAGGGAGAAGTAATCCAAAAAATTGGCCCAAAGGGTATACCAGAAGTAAAAGCTACCATAGTAGTCGAGGTATTTAGAATACACTCTAGAAGAAAGGTAGCTCGAAGATCCATTATAAGCTTCCATATTAATTTTTTACTCTTCATCACATCTGCACGTGAAATAAAAGAGACGTCAATGGAAGGGTAATTCAAGCAAGTGATCAAGACAAATGAGATTTCTATAACCACTTACCAAAGATAACTTTCATTTCCTTCTTTGATCTACCATTCACCATCTAGCGGGTCGAGATGGAGATTTTTAACAGTTTCCATGGAACCGCATCGGAAGGAACAATACCACCAACATAGCTAAGCTCCTTGTAGAAGTCCATCAATTGCCTCTTCAAATATAACTCTTCTTGGAACTGGTCATCCTCGTGTAAACATAAGATCCACCCCCCATCAAGAAATGATTATGGCTCCGAAACTTAATGAATAAATATGTGCACACGGGTGGATGCCCATGTTCTATTTTGCATATTTTTGTGTGAGCCTCTTTAGTATGAGGGGTGACCAGAAGGAAAAAAATCTTTGAAATAATTCACGTTGTTAGAATAGGTCTTGAAGATTTTGGAGTTCTGCCTCATAGAAATCAAGCTTAAATCAGGCGCATGATTGATACTGTTTTGAGTCTCGAGGTCGACTTAACCCATTTGTATTCACACCAATGTTGAAAAACCTTGAGAAACATCTAACTCACCTAACGTCGTTACGAAGGGTAGATCATCAAGCAGTTCATAACACAGGTCTCAAAGTCATTAAATGGAAGACAAAAACTTGTGAGGCAAAATAAAAACTCGTGGAAGAGGATTACGCACTTGTCATATTATTTGCATACCCTTTTATCTCCATATGGTGGAACTACTCCTTAGTCAGACGAAGGAACCATGTCAATCAAAACACAATCTAAGCCATCCTTGTAGAAGAAAGTGGAAATGGTCC